AAGGCATACGTGCTGCAAAGTGGTCAGAAACTAAGGTGTCCAGCAAAACCATCCATTTGATCTCTGGAGTGAAGGGGCTGCCTAAGGTACAATGCTCAGAGACATGACAGTCTCTGGCCCGGCCCTCGGGGCTTGCTTCTCCACAAGAGAAGCCCACTCCCTTCCTCCAGGTGACTCAGGTGTAATACCTCCTTGGCAAGAAGACTGTAGCGACCATCCAGACCAAATCTGGGGATCTCTCCATTCCTGGAGGCATAGGAGTGTGGCCTTTTCAGTCTCTGCTTGTAATACCATGAAAACCCAGAGAAACTATTGAAAGGTGTTTTCTAAACAAAAACAACAAAACCCGGCCTGCTTTGGGATTATAATCTCCAATTCAAATTTGTACTTTTACAAAACTAAGATGTCCTTCAGAAAGTAAGATGTCCTTCAGAAAGTGACTGAAGGGGGCTGGAGAAATGGCTCAGTGGTTAAGAGCATTGCCTGCTCTTCCAAAGGTCCTGAGTTCAATTCCCAGCAACCACATGGTGGCTCACAACCATCTGTAATGGGGTCTGGTGCCCTCTTCTGGCCTACAGGTATACACACAGACAGAATATTGTATACATAATAAATAAATAAATAAAAAAAAAAAAAAAAAAAAAAAGAAAGTGACTGAAAAGTGGATTTCTGTTCACTGAGCCATAGTGATTTCTGTTCATTACAAAGTCACTCGGAGCAAAACCACACATCTCCACTGGAGCAGTTCACATCCAGGACACTGTCAAAAATCACACGACAAAGCACAGCAAGCCACTACAGTTACACAGAGCAAACAAAAAAGAGCAATTCACAACAGAGCCTTCAGTAACACAGCGCTTAGGAGAGCCCACAGACAGTGCCAGGGAGCGTCGGGCAGCGCTTTACCAGGAAGCATCCTTGGACTGGAGAATGCGTACACGAGAAGCAGACATGTAAACAGTTTCCTGGCCTCCTAAGTGGAGCCAGCACACTAGGAGAGAACAGGGTTCTTCTCCTCCTTCGCTTACCACGGAGAACAGAAACATCGGGACTACTCTGAAACTGTAGAGTATGTGGTTCTCATTTTGGTGCTGACATTCTTTTTTAAATTTTATTTATTTATTTATTTGTTTGTTTATTTATTTATCTTGAGATAGGGTTTCACTGTATAACAGCCCTAGCTGTTCTGGAAGTTGCTTTGAACTCACAGAGATCAGCCTGCCTCTGCCTCCTGAGTGCTGAGATTAAAGGTGTGTACCATCACTGCCTGGCTGGATGCTGACATTCTTGATTTAATTTTTTTGCATGTCTATCAATATGCTACTAAACCCTGACCCCCAAACTCTGCTTATAAAAAGCAATGCATTTTTTTCTTTGAATAGTTACAAAATATTTAAATTCACTTGATTTTAGTTAGTTCTGTAAAAACAAAGTTCTGAAAATCCTAGGCCTCAGTACGTGGGAGGCTGAAGCAGGAGTGTGGCTGCAAGTTTCAAGGTAAACCTGGGCCACCACAGCAAGTGTGTCTCAAAAACACCCACAGCAGAAAGTATCATGTGTTGAGGATATGTGTCCCAGGCAGTGTGGAGGCTGGCTCCATGGCGGTGCACATAAGGGAAGAGGCATCTCAAGGTGAGCCCCTGTAGTGCTAGTGCCAGGGTGAGACCTAAGGCTGGGTACCACACTGGCACGCACTGGGAACCGGCCATGGGAACAACAGGATGACCTTTGCCTGTAACTGCATCACACTTAGCTTTGGCATTAACTGAGCGGAGCCATGGTTCTCCCAGCATGGGCTGGGGTGCCGCAGCAGGGACAGTAGGACTGGCAGCTCCTCAGACTTGGCAGTGAGACCCTAGGAGTCTTCAGCAATCTGACGAGCCTTTTGCATGACTCTGAGGCTGGAGCTACTTGGAGAAGGAGAGGTGATCTAGTCTGATCCAAAAACACAAACCCAATCAACACACCAGAGTTCTCAGAGGTGAACCCTGCAGACAGCTACACTGTACAACCATGATCCTGACACAGTGGGTTCCTTGTATCCTTCTCTGATCAGACTTTCAAAGCTAGTTTATGCCCCTGTATTTTTGTTTGTTTTGTTTTGAGACAGGGTTTCTCTGTGTAGCCCTGATTATTCCAGAACTCTATAGACCAGGCTGGCCTCAGACTCAGAGATCCACCTGTCTCTTAAGTGCTGGGATTACAGGCATGCGCCACCATGCCTGGTTCCTGCATTTGTTTTTACCACATTGTACTTGCTTCAGGAGGGCTTTGTGCAGATCTCTTCTGAGAGCCTTTCTTCCCCATCTGATCTGTAGATGTGTGGAGGCCAAGTGCTTGCTGTCCTGCTGTAGAGACTGCCAGGAATCACGGGTTCACTATGGAGGTGTGGAGAGGCTCGTTCCCTCTAGGAACCCCTAAACAGGAATAACAGGGATGGAAGGTGGAGCACCTGAGGACAAGGGGGCTGTTGTAGTGGGCTTGCGGGTGTCCTGGGGCAGGGGCGAGGGCCTCCCAAGGCAGACAGAAGAAGGCAGGCATAGCCTGTTTATGCTGACTGCAGGGTGGGTGCTGAGAGAGGTGTTCACATCCGACAGCAGGATGAAGTGAAGACGTCGGGACTGACGTGCTTGAAGTGTCAGAAACAGGGAACATTTAAGGCCAGCGCTAGGAGAAGCCACAGCACCCGGGGAAGGTCCTGGGCAGCCCTTTAAACCGGTGCCAAGCAAACCAAGCGACATGAGGCCCTGCGTGGAAAGTGTCACCAGGGCCAAGTTTCTCCTTGGGACGGCTTTTTGTGAGTATAAAGCTCACTGTGTGCTAGCAGTATTTGTTTTGGCCTGAAATGGACTGGATGGGAGAAAGCAGAATTGGTTAAAACTGGCAGTGGAGCAGTGGGAGGTAGGGGCTGGGGCAGCTTCCTCTGACACATAGGCATCCCTTCTCTCAGCCTGACTGCAGAGGAGTTAAGGCCAGTTTGGAAGGGCACTGGGGGGTGGGCAGTCTTCCTGGAGACTGCTGAGAGCCCTGGGCGGCCTTTCCAGACTGCCTCCCCAGCTCTCCCTCCGCTGCAGCATCCTTTACAGAACTAAGGCAGGCTTTTCAGAAACCAGGAGGCCGAGGCTTCCAGATGAACAAGCAGCCCTGGAAACGGAGTGCAGGGTGGCAGGCATCAAGAACAGGCCTGTCTTTATTCTGAAAACTCGAGGTGTGCAGAGGTGTTGTCCTCAGAGCTACTAGAATTTTTTCTTTTCTCTTTCTCTCCCCTGCCCCGCCCGCCCTCTTGTTTAGTTTTTTGAGACAGGGTCTCGTTCTGTAGCCCCGGCAGACCTGGAACCAGCCCTCTGTTTATTTAGCACAGGCTGGCTTCAGATCTGTGGTAGTGATCCTCCTGCGTCAGCCTCCCAAGCGCTAGGCTTACAGGCGGGGGCCACTCACCCAGTGTGGTCCCGGGATCTTAGGGCATGATGACTCCTTTCAGCTATGAACGGGATACTCAGTTTTAAAAGAGCCCAGGTCACATATCTTCCCGTTTCTATGAACAAGCACTATCAGTTTGATCTGGGGAACCTTCTAAGTTTCTTCTTTTGAGGGGAAGGTGGGGATGATAGTGTCTTGGTTTGTAGCCCAGTCTGGCCTAGACTGCTCCTAGACACAGCAAACTGACTTTGATGCTACCTCCTGCCTCTTAGGCTCAACACCAACCACTCCTCCTCACTTCTCAGACTGTGTGTCATGGCTCCTGTGGCCTAAGGAGGAACAGGCCAGGAGGCAGAGGTTTATCTGGGGAGGATGGTTTGGCTCTCGAGGAACCAAGCTGTCTGGCTAGAACTATATGTCACCAATGACTACACTGCCTAAACACAGCAAAACAGAGCTCTGGATTCATGGTAGACTCTGTCTCAACTGCAGTTTTCTTCCACAGGAAAATCAGAAAACCCACGTGCTTTTCTACGCAAGCAGGCCTGGCAGTGGCACTGAAGCCCATGTCTTTCTAACTGGATGTCAACCACCTCGCCAGCGGGGACCGCATCCCACTCCTCCCCACGTGCCAGCGCCACACAGCTGCATTAGGACACTATAGGCAACCTGCTGGCTTGTCAGCCAGAGCAGGGCGGAGTGCGGGACAACGCTGAGTGTGGGGAAGAGAGGACGGAGGGAAACATAGCATTATATTTCTTTAAAAATTAGCTTCTTTAAAACTATTACATTTCTACTGTCACTACCACTACCTGACAGAAGCTGAGAAAAAAATAGGAAATGCACTATAATACTTTGTTAACAAATGATGCTACAAGGAACCAAAATCAAGGAATTTAAAAAATGTCAAGAACTTCAAAAGCATGCAAAGTATTAAAGGCTGGCTCACAAGCAGAAGTATGCTGTCAAGGTCAAGACAGGATGTGACATACATCCCCTTGTTAGAAGGGCAACGCCGCTGCGGTAGGTTAGACTAGAGATCTGGGCTGTCAGCATCCCCAGGGCCACATGGCTTCTCATGCTGAGTTCTTTACAAGGGAATTTTGAAATCTTTTTTTTTTTTTTTTTTTTTTAATCTTTTTCTTTTTGGTTTCGTTTTTCAAGACAGGATTTCTCTGTAGCTGTAGCTTTGTCTGTGCTGGAACTAGACCAGGCTGGCCTCGAACTCACAGAGATCCTCCTGCCTCTGCCTTTAATCCTATGATTAAAGGCTTGTTCCACCACCACCCAGCTGGAATTTTGGAATCTTAACAGTCAATCCTCATTCATATGCCCATCTATGCTATTCTCCAACGTGAACTTGACTAATCAATGGGCAGAAACAGGCATGTAAATTAAGAACCAAATAAGGCAACATTTACAAACACATATCAGAACAACCACTTGCCAGGTTAGAATAGGTGAGGTTTCACTGTGTACATAAATAAACAGACATGGAACATACAACATGTAGAGGACACTCCGGGGTGATCTCAATGTCTCTGTGGAATCCAGCGTTCTAGAGCATGGAAGATACTCACCACTGCCAGCGCTCCCCTCTCGTTTGCTGCGGGAGCCTCCACTGCTGTCTCTGCCTGATTTTATGCGCTAAAGCAACAGGACAAGGAGAGAAGAGTAAGTGACATTCCTTCAGAACCACACAGAACAAAAGAGTGATGTAAAACTAGCATTACCACGTGACCCTCAGGACTAATTCATCACCATCCAACAGCTGAGTCAACAGAAAAAAGGACAGAATCTTTTTATTTTATTTTTTTGGTTTTTCAAGACAGTATTGTATATAGCTTTGGTTGACCTGGAACTTGCTCTGTAGACCAGACTAGCCTCGAACTCATATGGATCTGCCTGCCTCTGTTGAGACTAAATGCAAGTGTCATCATGCCTGGATGGACAGAATTCTTTTGAAAGTAAGGTCTGACGACCCTCCCCACTCCCCACTCCCGATCTACAGAGTGAGTTCCAAGACAGGCTCCAAAGCTTCAGAGAAACCCTGTCTCGAAAAACAAAACAAAAACTTCCAACAGCACTTTCTTGACAAAAAGATTCAGGATATTATAATAATTTGAAAGAAAAAGTCGAAGAGGAGAAAAACATGTACCAAAGGCCATTTCCTACCCCATCCCTAATCTGTAACAGTTAACCCAGTCCACTTGAGGGTTCAAACAAAACAAAACAAAAGCATCCTGGCTTTTGACATTATACTTCTAAAATAAAAGCGTTACTAAAATCTCACACGCACTTACGGTTTGGCCAACAGTTACTGTTCTGGACACTCAGAAGCATTTGAATAGGGATCTCCAGGGTGTGATGGGCCCATGTGTGAGCAAGCAAGTATGTATGTGTGTTGGTGGTGCGAGTGCATACACACGTAGGCCAGGGGTGAGGCTGGATGTTTCTTTAGTTGCTCTTTACCTTAACTTTGAGACAGGATCTCTAAGCCTGGAAGTCAGGGATGTGTGGCTACACTGGCTAGCCTACACTCCGGGAATCCTCTTGCCTCTGCCCTTCTGTGCTGGGATTACAGACGTGTGTCATGCTCAGCCTTTACATGGGGACTGGGTGTCAAACTCAGGTCCTCAGACTCGAATGGAAAACTGTAGTATTCTTTCAATTTCTTTCCATAATATATGGTTGTTTTGTGTTTTGCCTAAGCATCAAACTTTTTATTTAGAGTGTTTGGGTTTTTTTTGTTTGTTTTTGTTTTTTGCTTTTGTTTTTCTGAGACTAAGTTTCTCTATAGCTTTGGAGCCTGTCCTGGAACTAGCTCTTGTAGACCACGCTGACCTCGAACTCACAGAGATCCGCCTGCCTCTGACTCCTGAGTGCTGGGATTAAAGGTATGCGCCACCACCGCCCAGCTAGAGCTGTTTTTTAAGTACTTTATTTAATATTCATACATGCATATAATGTATCAGTGCCCAACCCAACAATTCATCAAAAAAATATAATAACTGTAAATATATGAGCAATGAATATTGGAGCTCCTGGTTTAATAAAACAAACCCAAATGGTCAGGTAGGTCCTGAAACAGTAATAATAACTGACTGACTTCAGCACTCCATTCTTCTCTCAGAGTTTCAGCTTGGATGCAATAAACTGCAGAGTTCAACTACACTGCAGATTAAATAGACTTCACATATCTACAGAATATTCTATCCAATGGATATGGGCCATACATTCTTCTCAGCAGTCCATGGAACAGTCTCTAAAATAGGTTACATTCTAGGCTACAAAGCAAGTCTTAACAGCAACAAACAATAAAATAATGTTAACTGTTAACGTCTTGCCAGTTAACAGTCAAATAAAACTAGAAGTCAACAGAAGAAAGAAACAAATGGTCAGGTAGGTCCTGAAACAGTAATAATAACTGACTGAAGAGTTGGAGACTGAACAATAGACTTTGAGTGATCAGCAGGTTGTTGAAGAAATCAGAAGAAATTTAAACATTCCTAGATCAAATGAAATCGCTCTTCATCAGAACCTGTCAAATATGGCTAAGGCAGTTCTAGGAGGAAAGTTTATGGCTGAGTGTGCACAGGAAACATCAAAGGCCAGTGGGAAGCTCGGTGGGTGAAAGTACTGCCCTGCAAGTCTCATGGCCTGAACTCGATCCCCGGATCCACTCTAGGGTAGAAGAAGAGAACCAGTTCTACAGAACTGTCCCCTGGCTTCCACAGGCATACTGTGGCATGCATGCCCCCCCAATCACGCACACACTCACAGCAATCCTTTTTTTAATTAAAGAAAGCTGAAATAAACAACCTAATGATGAACCTTAGAAAAACATCCAACACACTAGATGACAACAATAAGGAAATCAACTTATGAGGCAGAGATAACACAGAATTAAATAAAAAAGTTGGCTTTTTGAAAAAACACAGAGACTGAAAATCCATAGCCAATTTAACCAAATAAAGAGAAAAAAGACTCACATTAATAACATTAGAAATGAAAAAAATAAGGTTATCAGAGTCCAGTGAAATCCAAAGGTTATTATAGAATACACTGAAAACCTACATTTCAAAAGACTGGAAAATTTGAAAAAATAGATAAATTCCTGGACACATACAACTTACCAGAATTAAATCAAGAAGACAGAAATAACTTAAAGAGATCTATAACTAGCAATGACATTGAAAATGCAACAGGGAGTCTAACAACAATGCCCAGGACTGGATGGATTCACTGTTAAATTCTACCATGCATTCAAAGAAGAGCTTCCTTAAATTGTTCTACAAAACAGAAGGAGAAAGAACATTATTCCAAACTCATTCTACAAATCTACATTTCCCTAATACCAAAACTGGGTACAGACAGAACAAAACATTAAGAACACTATAAAACAATTTCACCAATAAACATAGGCATAAAAATTATCAATAAAATGTTTGCAAACTAAACTCAACACATAAAAAAGAAGACACATCATAACCAAGATGGCTCCATTCCAAGGATGGAGAACAATCCAGCAGACACAAACTAATAAAGGTAATCCAGCACATAAGCAAACATGAGGACAGAAATCACATTACCTCCATACACGAAGAGAGAACGTTTGACAATGTTCAACATCTCTTCATTATAAGAGCCTTGAAGAACCTAGGAATAGAACTAAAGATCCCAAGCAGCCAAAGCAATCCTACGCAGAAAGAGCAATGCTAAAAAAATCACAACATCCAATTTCAGAGTCACCCCATCATGTGTGAAGATGACTCCTGCATCCTGCTCAGGTGGCCCTAGGTGGGAACAGGATTCTTAGGGAGGCGTGAGCTTTCATAGCCACCAAATTATTTTATCCACCGTGCTGTCCCTGCCCTCAGCTACAACCTTCTACCCCTGTTTGAACCCTATTTTTCTAACAACCACTTAAAATCTCTGCGTTCCGTCCATCTGGACTCCTGGCCCACCATGGGCACCCCTTGTCTGACTCATCTCTCTGGCTCATTCACCAAGAGAAACCTGAGCCTCGGCTGCTTCTGTGACTCTCCTCTTCCCAGGACACTGGGAAATGGCCAAGCACGCAGATGGGCACCACAGGGCATCAAGGATATACTCAGCATCTCAGCCCATGCCCACAGAACTCCACTCTCTCTCCTCTTCACCCGTAGCAAGTGTGTCCTGCTGCTGCATGGACTGGAGGTGAGAGCATCCTGTAAGGCTCCTAAGTCTTCCTCCAGTTCCTCTATTTGGAGATGCCCCGTGTGTCTCTGCCGGCTCAAGGTTTCCTCTAACACTCTGTCTGTAGAACGGTATTCATCCTTACTCCCAGCTCAACATCCATGCACACTCAAACCCAACAAATAATGGCCACAGGATATGGCTTGGCGGGTAACAACGTTGTGCAAGCCTGATTCCTGAGTTCTATCCCTGAACACACAGCGGAAGCAATGAACCAGCTCTTGAAAGTTGTCTTCTGACCTTCCACGCACTGTGACACAGGCAGGCTCACATTCTCTCTGTGGCTCTCCGTAGCTCTTTCTCTCTTCACACACACATTACATTTACAAAATTAAAAAAAAAAAAAAAAACCAACAAATCCAACCAGAAAGGAATCTAATGGGCCAACCACTGTTAAGAGCCATGACAAGGGTTTTGTACAGACGCCACCAAGATGACAAATAGGAACCATGAAGCCTTAGTCAGCTGTTCACTGCTGACACCATGGGGAGAAGTCTGACCATCGGTTGCCTAGGCGACCATTCTTCCTCAGTGGGTGCAGAGGAAAGTCTCCAGGGACAGACCTGTGACAACAGCAATCCCATCAGGCCATGGGGCTGACTCTGGCACGTCCCCCAGGGATTCCAGAGCTGGCTGGGAGTTGGTCTTGCTCTGTCAGTATAGAGAGGGAAAGCAGCCAAGGGAGAGCCAAGAAAAAACCAGAAAGAACTCAGGAGCGCCGGGCTACAGTGCTACCGAGCTACCTAACAGGTAATCTAGGCGAGGCCAGGGAAGAGAGACCCTGTCACAGGGCATAACACAAACATGGCAGCCAGCAGGGTGAGTGGGCTGAGCCGAGGCACCTCTGAGATGAGAAAATAAAGGTCAGGTGGGAAGTATATTAAGATAATGACGGGGTGGATCTAGAATTTGTACAGTTAGACAAATTCTGAGATTGGAGAAGCTGTCTGGAGAAAGCATTAACTATGGAAACCAAATAGGTACAAAAATATAATTTATGTATGAAGGGTAAATGCAAATGGGAGTTTGGAGTTGGCTCTGTGGCTCCAGAGCCATGGTGTCAGCCTGGCCATGGTGGCCTGCGCAGCACTCCAGGGTCTACTCTGAGACTGATGTCTGATCCACAGCCCAACCCAGATCCATCCAGGACCAGGTCCATTTCCGGAACTCAACAGTGGCTGTTAAACAGCATCATGGTGATGTTCTTGCTACATGGGAGATGCGGGTTTTGTAAATATTCAGAGTCACACTCATTTCGGGCGGGATGTGACACAGGAGGCATTGGTGCCGTGACAATGATGGCTCTCAGTTCCTCAGTGCTTAAGTGAGAAATAGCCATATAATAGAATAAAGAGCAAACCCGACAGCAACAGACACTGGCTAGCACTGCCAGGTGCCTGTGTTATTTG